GTTCCTCGAGCGTTATGCAATGAATATTGCATGTGACGAGATCTATTCCAGTAATCCATTCCTCCTGTGAGAAGGAACTATTCAGATCTTTTTCCCATTGAAGAATAGGGGCATATTTAGTCATAATTTCCATACTATTTAATAATTTAATTTATCTAGATATCTGTCTCTTTTTCCTTGAGTTTAATATAAAATCTTCAAAGATGTGATTTGGCAAGATAGATCTAGATAAGAGAAAACTTTTTAAATCTAAGACAAGTAAACAATTCATTATTTAGTAATCCACGTTGGATCTGTAGCTGTGAGAAGGGGATTATTTTATATTGATTAACTATCTCTACTAAGTAAATTAAATATTTCTGAATCCATGGGGTAAGGTGTAAATCAGCAATATAGTATTGTAAAACCTGTAATGGTGTCTTTAAAAGCTGATTATTAGTTATACCTGTGACGAGACCAACCTCACCACTGTGCATTGGAGGTGCCTGGTTGCCCACATGCTGCCTTTAGACTCCGGCCCCATGTTGAAAAGCTTGATTTTCCCCTGCAAATACACGAAAACTGGGTCATTCGGTACTTGCCCTATTTAAACAGTGATACCCCAGATAGCTATGCCATGGAGCCCGTTCGTATAACAATAGACTATGTGAAAGACTTTGGCTCCATGGCAATTGAACTGTATGTATGTGATCTGAGCGCCATCCGGTAATAATGTGCGCTCAGATCTAAGCTATCTGGGGATATGTATGTACCTGTTTTATGCAATAGCTGCACAGTTATATATTTTTATGTATTTTATTGTCTTTTGCTACCATGTGTTCAATGGAGTTTTGCCTCTGTCCTTGGAGATAATTGGATTACTTCCCAATTATCTCCAGCATAGAAGCCTCTGTGGAACTGGTTTTGGGCAGAAAAGCCATGCTTCATTTGGTCACAAAGGACTATGATCTATCTTTTGAACCACTGGACCAATTTGTATGATTTTGACGTATGTTTGTATTTGGAGTATGCTGATTCTGAAAATGTAAATTTATGTAAATGTGATGCATACTTTTAAAGTTATGAACAATGTGGAAAAAAATGTATTTCTCTGCCTGTGATAATTACATTAACCCATTGTGTAAGGTAATTGTATCACAGGCAGAGGGGAGGATTTTGTGTGGGAGTGTCTGAGTGTATTGTACGTGTTTATTTGTTGTTTTACAAAACCCTCTGGGTGGTACTAATGTGTAAGAATGTGTATATAAGAACAATAAACCCACAGCTCTGCCTGTTCCTGCTTGACCCTCAAAACTGAGCCTTGTCTCGTTCTTGGTGGGAATTACTGTATGCTGTTCCAGTTCGACTGCTAGGAGTGTAAACCTATTCGTATGGTTTTTCCTATTCATCTGTTTATGGCATTCATATGGTTTCCTGTTTGTGGATTGGTGTCTTTGGTAGCTGCCTGTATATCTGGAAGGGGAATATCTACTAAATGGCTTTAACCCCTTTTATGCCTGGGGTGCCGTTACAATACCCATTTTTCTTTCTTTTTTTTTTTTATAGTGATCAAAGAGTCCATTATAATGGGGTTAGAAAGTTTACAGAGATTAAGATTTCTTACATCAGACCATATGATATTAGGTGGAAAGTATGGCAGGCAGTCTAGGCTCTCCATTTCAAGCCAGGTCATATCAGAATGGCCTGGGACAGTCCAAGATAATACATGTGTAAGCATACATGCTTCGAGTAAGGTAGTCAGGTCTTGAAAAGATACCCATCCTTTATTCCTTTGTAATATTAGAATTGTGTTTGATCTTCTAGGTCTCCGCCCCATCCATATAAAATCCGAGAAATGTTTTTGATATTTCTGAAGTATAGTTGAATTAACTCTGAGGGGGATGGATCTTAACAGATAAAGTATTTTTGGTACTATATAGGCTTTTATTAGATATATTCTTCCTAGCATCGATATTTCAAATCATTTCCATTTGATCAACAACTCTTTGATTAATTTCAACTGATCTGTATGATTTTGTTCAAGTAAAGCTATAAAATCGAAGCTCCATTTAATGCCCAAATAATCTATAAACTTCATGTTCCAATTAAAATGATGTAGATTTTTTAAATCGTCCATCTCCACTTTGTGTGCCCAAGCTGTGAAGGTCTGTGTTTTATGTAAACTGATTTTATAATTAGAATATATACTATATTGGTCAATGAGTCTTAAAGCAGCAGGAATCGAGACTAGTGGATCCATGAGGGAGAGGAACACATCATCAGCAAAAAGTGTTATCTTGTGTTCGACATGGCCACCCTGGACTCCCCTGACCTGTATCGATTTCCTCATCATTATAGTCAATGGTTCAATTGTTAGTATATACAGCAGAGGTGCCAACGGGCACCCCTGTCTAGTACCATTACAAAAGGAAAAGCTGTCTGATACAAAATTAGTGCCAATAAACGTTGCAGTGGGATCTGAATATAAATTCTTAATATTACTCTTAAAAGTTCCAATTATGTTGTTTTCTCAAGAACCAAATCAAGGAAATCCCAGCTGACCCTGTCAAAAGCCTTCTCGGCATCCAAGGCTAACAATACTGAACTAGTTTGTTGTGAGTTTAGTCTATGTAGAAGATTGAGTATTCTACATATATTGTCGGTTGTGCTCCTTTCCCTCACAAATCCAGATTGATCACTGTGAACCAGGCCAGGCATCATAATGCTTAAACGGTAAACTAAGATTTTGGTATATATTTTTACATCAGTATTTATGAGGGAAATGGGCCTACAATTTGAAGTTATTGAAAGGTGTTTACCTGATTTAAATATAGGTATTATTGAGGCTTGTAACGTCTCACGTGGTATTATTCTATTATTAGATATTTCAATAAAAGTTTTTAATAATAGAGAAGCTACTAGAGTATAATTTGTTTTATAAAAGAGGGCTGTAAAGCCGTCTGGGCCAGGTTCCTTACCCAATTCTAATTTTTTGATTGAATCAATAATTTCAGATATTGTAAAGGGCTATTCAATAAATCCAGTCTAGATTGTGTAATTTTTGGGAGATTAAGTCTTTCGAGACTTTTTTTTTGTAAATTATATAAGGATTTATAATATTCTAAAAATATCTTAGCTATATCCTTGGGGGTATGTGGTACCATCAACTAGGATTTTTTTTATTATCTTACTGTAACGGACCGTTAAGCATAAAAGGGGTTAAAAACCATTTAGGCGATACTCCCCTTCCAGATACACAGGCAGCTACTACAAGCACCAATCTCCCGAACAGGAAACACACGAATTCCCCCATTCCCGAACTGGAACCATACGAATGCTGTAAACAGCCGAACAGGAAAAACCATACGAACAGTTTACACTCCTGGCAGTCGCACTGTAACAGGATACAGTGCAATTCCCCCCTCCCCCCAAGAACGAGACGATACTTTCGTTTGAGGGTCAAGCAGAACTGATTTACTGGGGCTACCTGCCCGTCTTTTATGCAGGTCTTCCACCTGGTGGACACTCCCCTAGGGGGAGCTTACAAAATTAAATACTTCTACAATGCATTATAATCCCTCCTCTCTGTCCTGGAGATAATTGGGAAGCATTCCAATTATATCCAAGGACAGAGGCAAACTCCATTAGCCATATGTTAGTAAAAAGACATGAAATTACACAGTGTTACAATTCCTACATAAAACATGTACATTCAACATATCCCCAGATAGCTTAGATCTGAGCACACATTATTACCAAATGGCACTCAGATCACATACATACAGTTCAATTGCCATGGAGCCAAAGTCTTTCACATAGTCTTTCGTTACATGAATGGGCTCCATGGCATAGCTATCTGGGGTAACACTGCTCACATAGGGAAAGTATCGAACGGACGGCGTTCGTATGAATTGCAGGAGAAGGGAGGTCGGCGGCTCAGCGGTGTTCGTGCAAATAAGTGTCCGTTTTGAGTTCCATAGATTTGGAGCTGAACACCGCTGGCCATTCGGGAGTTTAAGAAGGCCGCTGCCACGTGTTCGGTTATACGAACAGCGGCCACCCAGCGTTCACCAATTAAGCTGCGGTTAACCGCAGCTTCTGGGAGGTAAATCACTGGCACACTCCTTGCCCAGGTGGTCTCCCCATTAGTGCGTTAGTTCGGTAGATTCAATCTACCGAACGCCCATGCAGAAAAGCACGAACAAACCTTTCTTAAGGGGAAAAGAACAGCGTTTAACATGGGGCCATAGTCCGGAGGGAGCAGGCAAATAACCAGACTTCTCCAGTGCCCAGTGGCGAGGTTGGTTCCGCCACACTTACCTTTTGAGTTAAATTGTAATCTTTTAGTTAATAGTTTACCTGTTCTGTTATTACCATGGTACCATTTTTGTTTTAATATAGTTATAGCTATTTTAATTTGTTCATATGTTTTCTCGACTATTATACTTCTAATCTGTGTAATCTTAATAATTTGATTAGGGTTTATCTGTATTTTATTTAGCCTTTCCAGTTTTGCAAGTTCAATCTGGTATTCTGAAAGCCTTCTCTCTGTTCTTTTTTAATCTTGATTCCAATTTTATAAATATTCCTCACGCAAAACACTTACATGTGCACCACAATGTAGAAAACAGACATACCCCATCGTTATTCAATTATTGAAATTCTTCCATCTCAAGAGATATTTTATTTGAATTTAAAGTAGAATTTTTTTTTTTATATTTATAAATCTTTATTTTCATTTTTTTTTTTAAATTCATTCAAATACAGATACAGCTTTCAACTGTAGTTTTAACCACTGTAAGAAAATTGCTTAACAGAAAAATAGTACATATGAATAACAGTAAAACCGTGCTTCAAATATACAACTACCAGTTTTCTGCTATATCTACAACCATGCAAGCATTCCATACACTCTATACTTCTTATCTATGCCGCATTTTCACTACTACCTACTATTAGCTATCTATAAGGGGGGGAAGGGGGGATTAAGTTTTATAGTTAGTATATCTAACCCAAGGGACCCAAACTTCATTATACTTATCTCTAGATATCTTGTTTAAGGCTATGCCAGCTTCCATGCTACGTTGGTATTCTATCTGCGTACAAATATCGAGCCAATTTAACGCACCCATTTTCCTCCAATTTCTAGCCATGACTATTTTTATAGCCATACAAATATGGATCATAAGGATTTTTAGTTTTATATTACTTTTTGGCAGGTCTAAATGAAACAAAAACATTTGAGGCGTAATCACAGTCTGAGTCCCAAACACAAAATCCGTCAATTCCGCTAAAATTAATTTCATAGGTTTCAACTCCTCACAGTCCCACCAGATGTGGGAGAATGAACCCAACTCCCTACCACATCTCCAACAATCTGGTAGAAGTGTGGGTTGAAATCTGTGAAGACGGGTAGGGACCAAATACCAACGGTATACTAATTTAAAGTATACTTCCTGTAAATTCACCCCGTGTATATATCTTTTTACTGCTTGTAGACCCAATAACCAATCCTCGACCGAAGATGAAAAATGAAGTTCTTGCTCCCATTTACTCATTGCTGGCACTTTATCTATTTGCCTTTCACTTCTTAAAAATTGATTGAATCTAGATACAATCTTCTTTTTGTAATGGTATTCCATGAACTGATCTATTAGAGAAGTTTCCGAAAAAACTTTTCCCATAGTAGAAGATTTTATTCTTAAATAGTTAAATATTTCCTTCGAAGGAAGGTTATATTTAGACTGAAGTATGGGAAATGGCAATATTTTATTATTATTAACAAGATCCGCTATTCTTACTATTCCACAGTGTACCCATTCTTGGATATTTATATCCTTTATGTAATATTTTAAGCTTATTAATGGGGCATTTAATGAAATATGTTTTGTACCATATTTTTTTTTCAAGTACTTAACGATGTAAATCATTGTATTATTCATCGGATTACTAGATCTTATATTTTTTAGAGATTCACTATCGCACCACCAGAGAAATAAAGGTTCTATATCACAGAGATCTGCTTTTTCAATGTCCAACCAATTTGGTCTGGAATTTGTAAAGTTATCACACTTAATTAAATGTGCAACCATATTATTCTTATATAATTTCTGTAAGTCTGGGAAACAGATCCCCCCTTCTTTCCAGTCTCTCTGTAAAATTTCCAAAGACACTCTAGGTCTCTTCTCTTGCCAAATATAATTTGATACTTGCCTTTGAAGACCGCGTATCGTCTGGCATGCCACCCTCAGTGGAAGATTACCAAATAAAAATGTCAGCTTAGGGAGGAGATAGGAATTTACTGCTTCAATCCTTCCCAACCAAGAGAGTTCTAGTCCCTTCCAGTTTTTTAAGGTGTTCCTAAATTGGATAGCAATGTCTGTATAATTAAGTTCTCCAATTTCTCTGTAATCTAGCAATAATTTTACTCCTAAATAATTTATTTTACTTACTTCCCAGTCACATTTGAAATCTGTTTTGAGTTTGTCTACCTCAGATCCACTTAAACCTTTTATCAAAATTTGTGTTTTCTTTATATTTATTTTATAACCTGAGTGTTTACCATACATATTTATGAGCCGAAATACAGCTGGGATAGATCTAATAGGGTCTGCGAGGGTCAATAAGACATCATCTGCATAAAGTGCAATTTTATTGACCAACCTATTCACTTTTAGCCCGCAGATGTCTTCATTCTGTCTAATCGCGGCTGCCAACGGCTCTATAGAGAGGATATATAACATGGGTGCCAAAGGGCATCCCTGTCGCGTCCCGTTTCTAACAGGAAACCAATTTGATTGAAACATATATCCTGATACTTTAGCTTGAGGATCTTTATATAATGCCATTGTACACTCCTTAAAGAAACCCTCGATGCCGAAGGCCCCCAATACTTCCTCCAGAAACTTCCAGTTAACCCGATCGAAAGCCTTCTCGGCATCGAGGGCAACCATAGCGAAAGGAGACGAGCTTTGGTTCGCATGATATAAGACATTCAATATTTTCCTAATGTTATCAGATGTGCCCCTACCCTCTACAAATCCGGTCTGATCTAAATGTACTATATTAGATATGTTTTGTTTAAGTCTATCTGCCAAAATTCTGGAGAAAACTTTGATATCCAAATTGATAAGGGAAATTGGTCTATAGTTCGAAATATATGATGGATCTTTATCTATCTTAGGGATTGGTATTATAGAAGCCTGAAATAATTCTGTTGGAATGGCTTTATGATTAGCAAGATCTTCAAATGTTCTTAATATATATGGTGAAATTATATCACTTAATTTTTTATAAAAAATTGGAGAAAAGCCATCTGGGCCTGGTGCTTTACCTGCTGTTAATGCTTTAATAGTATTGCTAATCTCCTGAATAGAAAATGGAGCGTTTAGTTGACTTAATTTCTCCATCGATATTTTTGGTAAGCTCAATTTATCCAAAAACTGTTTTGTTTCACCCTCAGGTGGCTCATTATATTTTATATTATATAGGCTTTTATAATAGTCTTCGAATGCTTTAGCTATTTGAGTTGGAGAGAGCATTTTTTTACCTCCGACTGTTATATATTTTATAGATTGTAATTTATTTTTATTTTTTAATTTATTTGAGAGATTTTTCCCTGTTTTATTATTTCCGTAATACCATCTCTGTTTTAATATTAACATAGCTTTATTAATCTTTTCTTGAGTTCTTATTAATATTCTTTCCCTGATCTCTTTAATAACCTCCAAAATTTTATAATCAATGGTAAGTTTATGTAAACGTTCTTGTTTTGCCAGATCAATATAAAGCTCGTTAAGCTCCTTTCCTTTCTTTTTTTTTATAATAGCACCCAATTTTATGAGACATCCTCTCATATATGATTTAAACGTACACCATAACATGGCGTTAGAGACATCCCCTGTATCATTGATTTCGAAGAATTCTCTAGTCTGAGTGCGCAGTTCATCCACATTAGTTTCTGATTTTAATAAATTTTCATTTAGTCTCCATTTATCTCTACACTTATATTCCGCATTGTTTTTTATAACTAAGCTTACAGGTGCATGGTCGGACCATGTTATCGGTCCAATTGTCACCTTCTTAACTCGCTCCAAAGTTTCCGGTTTAACCAAAAAATAATCAATTCTAGTATATGTCTGATGGACACTTGAGAAGAACGTATAGTCTCTCACTTCTGGACTATACGTTCTCCAAGCATCATATAAACAGTTTTTTGCCAAAAAAGTCTGCATCATTGATAGACCTGTTCTTTGCTTACCGTCTAAATGGACGTTAGGCTTAGTTCTATTCCTATCTATTTTGTTATCTATAGTACAGTTAAAATCCCCACCGATAATTAGGCTGCCAGACGATACGCGGTCAATCTTTTGCATCAGATTTCCCAAAAATCTGTATGGAGATTGGTTTGGAGCATAAACATTTACTAAGGTATATACAATATCGTTGATTCGTGCTATCACTATAAGGAACCTACCGCCCGGGTCGGCCTCCTCATAGATCGGCTCATATTTCACACTGCCTGAAAAGAAAATTGCCACCCCTCTTTTCTTATTCTTTCCTGCCAAATTAGATCTATGGACCACTGGGAATTTTTTGTAATTCCATAGTTTAGGCATAGAGTTAGTCCAGTGTGTTTCTTGAACGAAACCAATATCTATTTTATTATCGCTCAGTAGTTTATATAGATAGCCTCTTTTCTGACCTGAGTTTAAGCCCCTTGCGTTAATAGATAGTATGTTTAATGACATACTACCGTATCTCTTCCCGCCCCTTCCCCCCCTCTAGCCTCCCCTCAGATAGCATCCAACACTCAAATCCATTCATACCTTCCCCATTCGGCCCTATATATTTGGACCTCCTGGTGAAGCCCCAACTTTCTATTACTACATTCAATCCATAATATGAAGTTCTATGTACAGTCTTCATATTTAACCCTGCTGCCGTCGCAGGACCCTGGGCCAGAATAGTGGGCAATGTCGATACTCTATGGACAATTTGTTCTTTATTATACTCCCTCTATACTTCAACTTAATCTGCCCTTCTTTTCCCTTTCCCCTTCAATTACTATTTTTTAAATAGTTCCGATGTTCTTTCCCTTTATCCAACCCCAAGATCTGTCTACCACTGGCTTCCATTTTATCTTGGACAACTCGACTATCCTTATATTTTTATTCTCAAATGATCCTTTTCCCTAGCTCTTAGATATATTCTCCCTACTCCTCCCTTACTTCCTCCAATATACCAATTTCATACAAAATTTAGTTAAACTTATAATTATTGTGATATTGTGATATTCACTACATTCATTTCATTCACTTAAATTAAATAATGTATCCATACATATATATCGTGTTTTAAACTCAACTTCCCTGTTCGTTACATTAAATATAAATCTATGATTATTTTCATTATATTCATATGTATAATAAACCCCTATAACATTCCTAAAGCAGATATACACCCTTTCTACCCATATCCAAAGATCTTATAAATTTTTCCAATACTTCTATGTGTTATAAACCTCTTTTGTTCAATTCATACTGCTTAAATTATCTTATGTGTCTTTATATCAGTTTATCTATTATGTCTATAACTCTGTGTTTACCCCTTTTAACTTTATCACTTCTATATAGTGAGAGAGAGAAAAAAAAAAAAAGGAGGAGTTTGATTAATTGAGACTAAGGAATAATTTTCAAACTTATCATCTTCTGCTTTAGTGCCAAGTTGTCTCTAAAGATATATGTTTTATCTTTGAAGAAAACCATAATCGCCGTCGGGAACAACCACTTATATCTAATCTCCAAATTCCTAAGAATAAGCGTTTCTTCGGCAAAAGTTCTTCTTGCTTGTCTTGTCTCATAAGATAAGTCCTGATAAACTTTTAAATGTCTCCATTCTTCAGTGTCCAGGATCCCATTCCTTATCTTCTGCATTATTTGGTTCTTCGTCCAAAAACTGGCGAAACAAATCATAACATCTCTTGGATAGGACTTGTCAGTTCCATTTGATCTTGCCAGTCTATGGAATCTTTCAAATGTCTCAGGGCCCAGCGTCTGTCTGGATAATATTTTTGAAAAGAAGTTGTTCAAATACAAATATAAATCTTCTTGTAAAATTGATTCCGGTATGCCTCTGACTCTTACGTTGTTTCTCCTTGAACGATCCTCAAGAACAGTCAGCTTGATCTCAATATCCTGCAGTCTCTTCTCTAACTGTATATTAGATGTTTTAATTTGTTCATATTCCTCTTGTACTTTTTGTAATATGTTTGCTTGATTTGAGAGTTTCTCAGAGAGAGTGGCAATTTCCAATCTGATATCTTTAGAGTTGTTTTCAATATCCGTTTGGATCTTTTTATGTAAATTGTCCAGTAATTGGGTTAAAAGTTGTTGCGTCAATCCCTGTGGGGTTTTTGACAGGTGTGGTAAGTCGTCCTCTGATATATTTGATAATTGATGTGCTGGAAGTTGGGCATTTTCTAGAGGCAGAGACTTTCGTTGCCTCTCTAGTTCTATGCCTGCAGCTTTGGGAGAATAAAATGAACCAATTGTTGCCTTCTTTTTCTCCATATTTTGGGCTCTCTCTTTTTTCGGAGCCATATGTAGTTCTAAAACACCTAAGTTAAATTTTATACTCCACTAAGAATAGCTGTGGAATTTAAATTGCTTGCTTAAATTGCTTTTTCACAATTAGCCCAAGTCTCTCATTTCCTCTTCACTGCAACGCCAGACAACTGTCTCTTTAATTTAACTCTTATTTATCAGGTATAATATAAGAATCAGTATATACTAAGAGTATGTTCAATAATCAGTCTTCTGTTTATGAGTATAAGTACCTTCAGTCTGTAGATTTATATGCACAATATCAGCCAAAGTCGTACTTGAAGATTACTCTTCCTCTTCCTCATATATCAGCAAGCTCCAATACCTCTTGTTTGTCACATATAAATTATAAATCAGTAACAGGGAAATGCCTCAATTGTAGCTGCTTTTGTAACCTTGTATCCTTTACAGCAGCTGCTCAGGCAATTAGCAAACACATGGGAATCAAATGTCAAATGTAGCCGCTTTTATAACTTTGTAGCTTTTATATCTTGATGACCGCATTACAGCAGCTGCACAGCCAATTAACATACTCATAGCAACTATAGCAGCCAATTGTCTCAAAAAATCAGCTTATGTATCAACTTTATAGCAACTATTCAGCCGATTGCCATACCGTGAGAGTCAGGAGTCAGAAGGGGAAAACAAATTAACGAATTAATACCCCCCTTTATCCGCTTGTATCTCTGTACCGGCTATGTGGCAGCTTTGCAGCCGCTTCTCCTGCTCATACCTCGCTGATCAAAAAGCTTCAGCGCCGTTCCGCCTCACGTCCTTGCCTCGTTTAGTTTGCCTGCTTCATTACCCCACTACCTGGCCCCTGAAGGCGCGCGGTCCTGGCGCTTACGTGCACGCCAACGTCACGTACCGCCCGCCCATCTCTCTGATGCCTTTTGAGACTGTATGGTAGCCCAGGAATAAGAATTATCCCCATACTGGCATACCATTTGAAAAAGTGGACAACCCAAGGTATTGCAAATGGGGTATGTCCAGTCATTTTTAGTAGTCACTTAGTTACAAATACATTGGGTAGTCTACTTTTGCAAATGGTATGCCATCATTGGGGTAAATTTCATTCCTGGGTTACCTCACAGTCTCAAAGGTAACATTACTAATCTGGCAAATTTCAATGAGAAAAAACTGAAAAATGGAAGGTGCTATATCTGACCTCTTAACATTCCAAAACACCATGAAAACTGTTAATGGGGGCTACTGTTGTACTCGTGAGAGTTTGCTGAATCCAAATATGTGCTTTATATTGAACTAAAAGCTAACAGTATTATGACATTTACAGCTAAAATGTGAGGCGGATACAAATACAAATTTAAAAAAAAAAAAATTCTCAGTTTTTTTTATATTATTGATAAATTATGTTTTATATATGAATAGTTCATGATAAATTAAAGCCCTGTTTCTCCTGAACAAAATTATATATAATAAGTGTGGGTACACTTAATATGAAAGAGGTGAATTACGGTTGAACAGACATGCAGCGCAAATTCCAGCTTTTGTTTACATTTTGTTTTGATCAGAATGTGTACTATTGACTCCATCCTGAAGGATCGTGTTGTAGGGAACAGCTATACCAGCTATATTACTGCTAGCTCTTGCATTACATCAATATCAAACAAAATACTATGCTTCTTCTCTTGCCAGACATTTATTCAATAATTGTCGTACTATAGATGACTGTATTTATGCTTAAAATCAGTTTTATACCATACCTTTTATTCCTTGATCTCCTTCAATCATTTGAATTTACCTGTATGCATTTCATCTTTTTTTAAATGCTATGTATCTTAGACTCACTGAGTTTAAGACATCATTATTTCAGGCCCGTTAGTTCATTATGAATTTCTGCTTCACATGCTTTAAGATAATAAATTGAATTCACATCTAATCATGCCTACATTGTTTTTGTTTCATGAAAAGGCAAGTATGACTTTTAGTAGCAAAGGAATTTCCGTGACAGGAAAAAAAATACTGACTTTAAATGCTTAGTTCTCAGAGGGGAGTCACTTGTTTTCTGGTGTTCAGGTACATATTTTTAGCATGCAGTTACACATGAAGCTACCAAAGCCTTGCCTGACAAAAGGATTAATTGTAACTAACATACCCACTAACCCGTTAAAAATACACTTCACGCTGTGAGGAAAACAATGGCGCTGTGCACTTGAATGACACATTTTCTGTCAAGAAACATAATGTCCCAAACGGCTATATGCAGCTGGTGGATGCTTTTTGGCTGTTTGCCATTATATCTTACTTGCACAATATTCTTTTCTACTATTTAAAATCAAGAAAACAATAGCAGATTGCATGACCAGTACAGATGTAAAATGCTAAATTGTAGCCAACATGCATTTCAATCTACTAAACTAGAGCGTACAATTAATGTCTTAAAACACTTTTCAATTAGTTCAATTAAATTGCTCTAAATAAGTCAGTGGAACTAAGTGGCAATATCATGATTCACATGGTAAAATAAGAAATGATATAATGCACAATTAACCAAAAAAAAAAAAAATAGATTTGTTGGGAAGGTTACTAAAAGTACAAACTCATATTCCATTATACATAAAAAAAAAAAAAAATGACAGCTGCACATATACAACAGACATGGATCAGATATTTTATTTACATGCAGTGACATTAAATACAAATACAAGTGGGGCAACAGCAGCCCCAACCTTTACCATGTCAAGAAACAAATTGGATATATATATTGTAACGGATCACCTGGCACCCCGACTGGGTACCTCCGTTGAAAGATGCTCCTAGCGCTTCCTGAGGACTCCAAGCACTCTGGCAGACACCACAATCACCGAACCGGAGAAACAAATAAATTCTCCCAAGCATATGAATGCTGTAGACAGTTGAATAGGAACCATACGAATAGGTTTACTCTCCTAGCAGTCAAACTGGAACAGCATACAATAAATCCTTCCCCCAATAATGAGACGACACTTCACTTTGAGGGTTAAAACAGGAACTCCCTGTACTGGCACATACAGCCTCTTTTATTCACAATCCACAAAACATAGTACTGCCCACAGGGTTTTGCAGAACCACCAATAAACACATTACAACACATACAATGCAAGTACAGCAGCCAATCAGACACAATGGGAAAATAGAAACACACCCAGCATATTCCTCCCCTCTGCTTAGGAGATAATTGAGTCAATTACTGTATCTACTCAATTATCTCCAAGCTGAAAAGTTACTTTTTGTACATTTTTATAACTTTGTGAGTTAACATCGTACATACATAAAACTTACATTTTCATAATCAATCCATTCAGGGGAACAACATATTAAAAAATGGCACGAATCAGACCAGGGGTTCAAAAGTTAAGGGAAAGTCCTTTGTGACTAAATGAAGCATGGCTTTCTGGCCCAAACCAGTTTCAGAGTCTTCTATCCTGGAGAGTAATTCAATTATCTCCCAGGACAGACACAAGACTCCATTAAGCACATGGTTGCAAAAAGACACAAAACACTTTAAAATACATAAAGTCACATTTTATACATAAAACACAGACATGTCACATATCCCCAGATAGCTGGGATCTGAGCGCACAAAACTACCGAATAGCGCTCAGATCCTATTCACACAGTTCAATTGCCATGGAGCCGAAGTCTTTAACTACACGAATGGGCTCCATGGCATAGCTATCTGGGTTAATAACTTCACATAAAGTCTGGTCCATAGTCCAAAGGCAAGAGGCGGGCAAACAGCGAGGCCGGTTTCGCCACATATATATATATATGAGTGAAAGTGATAACTTTCACATTATTGGTTTAACATTTTCACTGCTGACAGCTTTTCAGGCAAGCCTTTCTTGTTTTTTTCCTTTAATGAAAATAACCTGCCTACATAGACATATTTAACATTATTGGATTTTGAATGGTTTAACCTCTTAAGGACAGAGGCAATTGTACAAGTTCTGATCAAAACAAAATGTAAACAAAAAATTGAATTTGCCCTATATGTCTGTTCAACCGTAATTCACCTATTTCATATGATATATCAATTTGTTCAGGAGAAACTGGGCTTTCATTTCACATTATTATTATTATTACTGCTATTTATAAAGCGCCAACAGATTCCGCAGCGCTGTACAATTAGTGGAGAAATGTATAATATACACAGACAAATACAAGAGGTAGAGAGAGCCCTGCCCGTAAACTAATATCTAGCCATTGGATCTCTTTTATACAAAGTGCTTGGCTAGATGGCCCATGAGCTTACAATCTAAAGGATACCATGGTGATTTAAGACAGGAGGTAGCAGGGGATCAACTATTCACATATGTAACAATGTATTATGAATAAAAACGTGTGGGAAATTAGGATTTTTTTGGTTTTGTGTGATATTGTAACTGTAAATGTCATAATACTGTTAGCTTTCACTACAAAAAAACACACATATTTGTATGTTCAACGAGTACAATAGTAACCCTCATGAACAGGTTTTATGGTGTTTTGGAAAGTTACAGGGTCAAATATAGCATGTTCCATTTTTCAGTTTATACACATTATTTATTTTGATGTGGAAAGGAATAGAAACTAAGAATATCAGAAAAGCTGTGGAAAGAGGAAAGGTGGTAACCCTAGGTAAGAAGTAATTGAATAGGAAGGTGCTTGTCTACAGGTGTCAATTAATTAAAACATAACATTTAATAAATTTGTTAAAAAGTTTGCCGTTAAAAATCAACAAATAAACCCAAAATATTACTAAATTCTAAAACTATTAATAGTATAGACCAAAAAACAAATGTATAAAGAAAATGGAAAAAAGAGGACTAATATAGAATAAACCAATATGAGATATATGTAAGATAAATTGAATTAGTCTATGTTTCTCCAGAATAGGTGCCCTTGAAGGCACAGTTTAGCAATTCACAGGATGATTGGTAAACAGCACTATTTGGGAAAACAGTCATGCATTGAACAATTCGATCCTTGTATCTGATTTTAGAGATTTTCAGGGT